CGAGCACTCACGTGACGAGCTTCAAGAAGGAGTTGTCTTTTCGCGCACACGGACGCAGAGTTAGGATAGTCAGATGCAGAGATGTTGCACACATGTATCACACAATCGCAGATAAGGTGTCGGGGATGCTTTGTATTCTTGCTAGCGAGTCGCTCTTCCACGTTTTACAGAGATGCGACCGCACTATAATCCTACACATGACCAGCTATTTTTTGGCCAACAGAGGTCGATCAGTGTCTATTGTCCGTCACAATACATAGCAGTTCAGTTATCCATTGAACCGACGGCTGTCCCTCTGTCTAATCGCAGCAGAAGGTCACCCGAAAACCACATCGATACAGTTTGGCACCAGCGGGGGTATGAATACATGATGTGTGATAAGACCAGAGGATGATCGATAAATCCATTCACTAAAATGCTCTAACTCTGTATCGCTCCCTTCAACAACCAGCCCGGTTGGAATGGGGGTGAAAAATGGTTTGAGTGAACCGTATAGCCACAACCAAAGCAAAGATGCAAGCCGACCCATTGTTGCTTGAAGAAGCGAAATGAATCCAATTACCTAGGTACTAGGCTCCTGTTACTACTAAACACTACCCCATATGCAGTCACTTTAGGGGAATTCAACGCACAAACAATTCAGTGTTCATGTCCATGATTCTCCAGTCCTCCCATGTCAACTTCGGTTTTTACTCTGAACTTAAGTCCTGATTTTCCGTTTGTCTATCCGTTCTTGTCTGAACCATGTATCCTATCGTCTCGGATGGATCAAGCAATGCACACGTTAAGAGACGACTGACGCCTTGTCCAAAACTAGTCGGACTGGGATAGCTGACAATTTAGAAGTTACAGTCTACGTAAAACGAGCTGAAATGATTGAAAACGTGGAAACCGGACTAGACCACCGGAAATTCGGATCGCTAAAACCTCCCTAATTCCGCAACACAATCCCATCCACAAAGTCTGCCGTCCTATTCACCACACCCATTCTCCCGGAAAATCAAGTATGAACAAGGCAAAACCTATCTTCGTCTTAATTTGGTATCATATGTGGTGATCAGATCCCCCACATCATGGACACAGGCAGAATCAACGGTTTCTGATGCATAGCCTCCACGCCTTAGTAACATAAGGTGCCATTTTGATAAAGGATACTACCCAGAAGCTTGCTGAAAACTCTTCGACAGTTCACGACCAGTCTCGCCCTTCTTGGGGCTCGTCAAGTAGGCGCATTCCCGAGGTTTCCGTCAACCTTATGTTCCACCTGAACCCGAATTGGACTGATATCGATAAATACACTCATTTGGAGGTAAATTTGTTTTTCACGGGAGACCAAACTGACTCCTTTGTTTATGACATTCAACTGAAAGTGCTGCGAAAAGGCCACACCGTGTTTCAGTTGGTATGATATTGGAGATATCGTAAACTATTTTTCTCGAATGGCTCTCAAAGAGTTTTCGGTGAACCTGTGAGTACTTCCTTTCATGAAAATATACTGCGATATCTCGAATATCGTATCGACTGAAACATGAAGCGGCCTTTGTGCAGCACATTCGGTTGAAGAACACCATAAACGAGAGATTCACTTGATTCTACCGTGAAAACCAAATCGATGTGCAAATGAGTGTCTAAACGTGTCATTTTGGTGGCTGGATATGAGGAAGTAGTAACTATGCGCAAGTTGATTAAACAGCGGAACCAAAAGCACTCATTTACTAAAAACCACCACTTTACCTGTGGAAAGAGAGAATGACGATGTGACGGAACGCACAGATCAGATGTTGAAAAAACGCACACAGAGGCAGATATCTTGAAGGTTACTGAGCCGTCTGGTGAAATTTCTGAAGTGGCTTTCGCAACTTTAGAGAGAGCCCCTAAAAGACACGTGCAGTGCAGACCACCGACTGCATACAGAAAACACGCCTTAGGTGATACATTAGGGCCCAGTGTGTAGAGTCAGAAATTCGACTATCCGATTTGAAAACGCACACCAGGAGGAATAGATGAGAGTCTTGGGGAGTCGAAAACTAGAAAAAGGAAATCACGTCACTCTACCAGTCGTTACAGAGTTGAACCGTTTTCAAATTATCGCGAATTGTTTTGGGTTACTTTGCTGTCTTTGATGTTAAGGCGATTTTCAAGATTTGCTGTCATTCTTGGTGTTTCGGATCAGATTTAAGATGAGGGAAAAAGTACCAAAATCCCCAACTCATTTCTTTTTACATCTCTACAAAAATATGGTTTCTCAGTGCAGAATTTTAAAAGATTCATTCAATGTTTCGATCAAGCTATTCATTGGCCCCGAGTGATCCTCTTACCAGTATAAAATTGCACATTTTGAGTGGTATGTCCGATTGTTTACAAGAACTTCCATAAACTTTTTTGAAATCCAGGAAAATAAACTTGAGCGTTGGAGTGAAAATGAAGAATGCCCGTTTTTATACCATTTGTACGTGAAGACTGCCTATCTACTCAGCATATAAGCTGGGGGAATGTTGACCTGTTATTCGAAAAGTTATGCTCAACATTGGGTTTAGATGCAACCGACGAGGGGGGCGACCCTATCGGCTTAGACAACAGTGCAGGTGCACGGTGACTTGTGTCGTGGACGTGGCGTCTAGGTTTACTCACGACGTGACAGAATTTTCGGCTCAACAATGAATGGTCGAGTAATCCATTGTTTTTGTGGCATGACGATGCGGATATGCACGAGTTTTCAATGATTTTTTTGGTGAATGGTGAAACCATGTATTAATTGGGTTCTAGGAAGTTCATACATTTGCGTCCATCATGATACATTGATGATCCAGATAGTCGACTTGCGTTTTTTTTGTTAGCTGAATTGTACGAGGTCTGTTTTCAATCAAATAACCAAATAAGCTATGAAGGGTCATCCTTTTACAAAATATAGCAAGGTTGACAGCGTGTGGCAGGCCCTGTTGGTCCCCAAACAGACGCACATTCTTTGGAAGCAGTGGCCAGAATGATTAGCTTAGTGGTCTCCAAGGTTCTTTTTTATCAATAGATGAATTTCGTGGATTTTTTGCGGTTGCACCAAAGTTGCAATAATCAGTGATCACGCGACAGGTTCAAATATCAAAATTTGTTGGTCAGTAGAGGAAATCGCCGCTTTTCGAAGGTAGCTTAACTGCTGTACTTATCCGTGGGTAACGGACTTGCAAGTCAAACATACAAGTTGATAAACCAGACGATTTGATACCAAGAAATCACATGCTTGTTAAAACTTGGTGTGATCTCCGATAGGTATGATAAATTTTTTATCCCTGGTGAAGATTGCCCCGAAATATTAGGAAATGTAAAATTTTCTTACAGTGTGTTCTAACTGACCGAATCGAGTAACTCCTGTTCAGGTGAATCGAAAAAAGTTGAATCACAATCCAGTCACGCCAAACAACAAAGCGGGTCAAAGCCGATCAGAACTTCAATTGAGGGTTGATTTGATAGAACCAATATACCATTCTTCGTTGTTCTGAGTGTAAAGCGTTGTTAGCACCAGTAGTTCACTTTCGGCTCGTATGCTAGAAAATAAATGGCCCAGTAGTTAGAGCGCGAATTTATTGACCAGAAGGTCCGTGGTTCGAATCCGACCTCTGCATCTCGACTTCTTCTGTTCTGGGCTTGGGCAACCTGGTAGTATCCCCGCCCTCGTTCTCCCTTCCGGTGACATGACAGCTAGGCACCGAAAGGGTGTTACAGTTGGACGATTTTTACGAATTACTGGAATGAATATTTTGACAGCACACAAGGACAGTTGGTTATGCGAGAGGACTGTGTGAGGTGACCGACGGGATTTGCTTTGTTTAATGTACGCATTTACATTACACAGATATTGTTTTAAAAGTACACGCTGTCTGATAACATCAAAGTGCATATGGTCCACGATCCAAGCTTTCTGGATAATCCATCGAGATGATTTCTTAGACGGCATAAACCATGGCCGAATCACCGACCCGGTTTTTTCTAATGGCTCTGCTCTCACCGTTTGCATTGCTGGGACAGTTAGTAATTATGTGCTCTTCTTTGTTGCCCTTGTGATCTGAAGGGCTTGTAGGAAATTGCTTCGGACTTGAGAGGCATTACTCGGTGGGTTTATCGCATGACGAATTTGCAAGATTGGAGATATGCTGAGACCTTTTGCGACTCATATTCTTTCGTCGCGTTCGACTGTCCGTCCTAATGTCGATATTCCCGTCATTTATAGTCTACGGAATCGTTTTTGAACAAGCGGACTAGAATGCGCCGAGAATTGTTTCAGGCGCATAACCACTTCATGTTGCTACTAGGAACGGTAAAGTGGCACAGTACACTTATTACGAGTGGTAAAATAATGCAATGGAGACCACTCATCAGGACACCAATCGCCACATTCCGTTGTGCTAACTGGGGGTAGAATGCGTCCAGGCCGAACGTGATTTCAAGGAGCACAGGCTAACAGCGATAGCTCTCAGAAAGATTCGCTCAGTGGTACCGATTAAGCTGAATCTTAGACGCTGTGTTCGACAGAACAGCAGTGAAACAGTAAGAGAGTCAGAAGTAGGTCTTGAACAGTCGGTCTTCGAGACCGATGGGTCGATTCAGAGTTGTTGATTGTCAAAAAAAAACAGCGTACACTGAAGTATGCCTCGTTTAAGAAACTGCTGCAACCAGGTATGTCAATCCAAAGGATGACCAATCTTTCAAGACAGATCATCTCTTGAAGGAATACTGCTCGAGGTTGCTGAAAACTCTTCGAGAGCCCACGACCAGTTTTTGACTCCTTCGGGGCCATGAAGTAGGTGCAGTCCCCCAGTAACCTTACGATATTCACACACCAGAGATTCAGCAAGGGGGCACTATGGTCACAATTGAGTAAATAAAGCGGTAGACGAATAAAAATGGAAATCTTTGGCGTAGCTGAGCAACGGATCATCGCCAATGAAGCTGGGTCTACCGCAACTGAAGGAACGCTTGGACTAAAAATGAATTCCTGTATACGGGTTTCATGAGCAAACGCATATCAACAGCACCAGTATCTGGTGATTAAATAAAAAATTGTCGTTCAGATGTAGCACCCTTTCGGTGCCTGACTGCCATGCCACAGAAGGTCGCACGAGGGCTGGGATACTACCAGGTTGCCCAAGCCTAGATAGAAGAAATCGAGATGCAGAGGTCGGGTTCGAACCACGGACCTGCTGGTGAGTAAATTCGCGCTCTAACCACTTGGGCCATCTGGTGATAGTGATTTTGCGGAATATCGGTAGCTATAGTGCACTCATATGTCGTTGAGCTGTTGCCCGATCTTGGTAATTGGCTTGCAAACATTGTCACCATTCGGGGAAGCACCATCAATTTGCTGTTGCGTGCATGTTTTCCCTCTTTATAGCGCTGATACATTATGAATAACGGTAGGAAGTATCTTGAACTTGAGTGATTCATTGAGGGCCCTGCAACATCGCCAACAACTTCAGATGTTCAATGATCAAAACGGCTCGTCGCTAGGTGACTTTCACTCCCACAAGATAGTGGATATACTTTCTCCGTGAACACCAGCGAAGTTAGTTTCTGTTACGCAGCGTAACTAACAAACCGCTCTCAGTTCGACCCAGGCGTGGACGATTGTCACACACGACGGTAGACGAATGGCGAGACTCATGATCACAGACATCTATAATTACATGAGGACAGCCAGGCGGAGGCTCATTAGAAAAAGAGATGCATGTCTGATGACAGTGGGACTTGGTTTCTTAGAGTAACTCGTAGTAAGAAATCAGAGTTGGGTTGATCAATGGGAAGGGGACTGGCCTTGAAAACGAATTCCAAAGACTAGCTGAAAACTGCAAAACCGGAATCACTGACGAAGACGATGCATTGGTGATAAACCTTTTCTACAGGATATTTCTGGATCTAGATGACATGTTATCGACTTCAATTTCAAGTATGTTATGGATCCAAAGTACTTGGCTAGCCTAGAAGCAACAATGAGATTCTAACGTCTCGCGGCTAGCCCAGTCCCATATATCCAAGTGGGTTATACAACTGAATGATTGGATCCGGAAAGGGGTTTCTATGAATGGCTAAACACCCGCCTCAGGGATCAGACTTTTGAGTTAGACGTTGAGGGCAGATATTCCTACCCTTCCACGGCTTTGCAGCTGAGACTTTTGAGTCAAAGGCTGAAGGTTCCTGTGCCATAGGCAAATATTTCTCTCTGTTCGAACAATCGGGAAGTTGCTTTCGACCACATTTGACTCCGTTCATTTCTAACTCAATCATTTTAGCATCCATTCCATAGAAATACAACCTAAACTAAACACACTACTAACACATAGGAATCCGTTAAACACAGCAGGATTTAATTCTTGCACATTTTGTTAAATGGGTCAACGAGTGTCCCGTGTTCAGATCAGTTGCTCAGTAAAATTCGATGTGCTGCCTCGGGGATAATTACACACAATTCTATGATGGTAATACATCTTAACAACTCAGTTTCTTCTAAGTGTTAGTTCATCCGTAAGCGACGATCCGTGAAGAAAGTTCCGGTTGGCTATCTGATGGGGAGGCATTGCAGCGTGGACAACCGACAACCTAGAGAGGAATAAACACAAAACAACAGTTTTAAGACATCCGTGGGGTTGAAGTACCAGAGGCCCACTGCACCATTGGCTGGAATAGTCTACCGACATGACAATTCATTACCTTGTCCTTAATGGTCGTCGAACTCTTTCATTGTTTTAGCTGTTTTTTTGTACTCAAACTCCTCTATTCGTCTAACGCTGCTCGCTATCATATTCTGTATAGACCCAAACTAACCGAAATAGATACACGGTTAAGGAGTGTCAAATCGAAGTGAACCGAACTGACAGAAAAAATATGACTTACGCATACGAGTGCCATTGGTAAAAAAGGATCAGTAGTCATCCTCGATATTTAGATCGTTTTTCATCTTTTCTTTAATCCTTAATTGATGCTCGGGTCATTTCTGAACTGGTCTGCAATTTGGCTTGGTTGAAATGTGATTCGGTGTTTTTCGATGAGCATGAAAATTCAGAAGAGAATATATCCTCCAACATAATTAGTTAAACCTGTGGAACGAAAATGGGGCAATTTGATTGGTCAGAAGTTCATGTAGAAAAATTGTAGTTCATGGTGTTTCAGCAAAGTTCGATGCGAGATAGAAAATTTATCCAAACCTGGGCTACGTGCATAATTCTGTGTTCTGGTAAAAGTAATGTTTCATTTTTGAACCCGCTGTCCACGACTGAGTCCCAAATACGCCCGAGACATTTAGAGCTAACATCACCCGAAAAATTGTTGTGGCCCAATTTCTTTCCAACGGTCCAAGGAAATCTGCCTACTGCTAAGAGGGTGAGCACATGCAGTAACCAAGGTTGCCATTAGGTTATTTGTATGGGATGTTTGCTCATCCGCTTACTTTTTGACATAAACTACGCTGAATGGTGACTAGATTTGACATTGAAGTTATCAAAATGCTTGATGCTATTTTCTGTAAATCAATTCATAGGAAACCCATTCCCAATCCCAGCGCATCGACAGCACGCGAACATCCGCCCGTGTGGGATACGAGAGCATTTCCTTCGTCCCGTTGAGAGGAAGAAACCATGTAACCTCCATAGCTTGTTATTATCCTACTGGAGTAAGTTACACAATACAGTCAACATAAGATCTGTGGCAATACCGTAATGCTCGTCCGATGTTGAACTAAGTAGGACCCAGTGCATGGTTGGATGAGTGTAATCCGCGCAGATAGTTTCGGACATAGAATTTACCTGTGAATCCACTTTATGTGATTGAACTATCGTCTCCGTGACTTTCTGTGGTGAAGTATGGAACCAAAGTTGATTAGGGGTTTCGTATGAGGTGAGTTGTGAGCAGAGAGTGGGTCATACAAAGGTAGTGGAAGCGAATAACTAGTTATTGTCTATTCACACCCTATAGTTTGGTTCTATTCTTTTCAATTTCAAGAAAGTATTTATTCTTAGCGAACGGTCAGCTCCTACTGCCTTACTTCACTGCTAATTTATCAGTAGGTTAAAGTGCCATTGTTTAAGGGGGTGTTTATGACTAGGAGTGTGGGTCAAACGAATAAACTCTCGATTGAACTCAAACATCCTGTAGTAAAAAACAGCTTCCGTAAGGTTGTGACAGGAACTACAGATGCTTTTTTTCTCGGGTCTAAATTCATCCAGGACACAACGAATGGTAGGAAGTTTTGAACCTTGCCTAATTATTGGGGATTCTGCTTTTTCGGGGGAGATTCACTGCACATTGTAGGATAGGAGCTACAAAAAACGTTTCATCGGGCGACGTACTGGCACCACGCTGCCCTCGTGGTTGTGCAGCAGTAAAGCGTCAGCTCTGACATCCGTGTCCCCGACGGTACAAACTACTATTCGGTCGTGATAACAAAACTGGCGCTTTGCGCACGTTCACTTCTGATGGCCAAAGGGTTTCCATTTGGAGTCATCATGACAGCGTATCGAAAAACATTACCGAGGGGACACTGTTCGGTCAAAACTAAACAGGACCGAAGCAACCTGTCAAGCCAGTACCTATAAGCGAACCAGTACAACAAGATCCGTCACAAGGTGGTCAAATTACGAGCCTTCATGTGACAATAGTGCGACCGGACTGTTCGGAGTTCGAGATAACCCGGTAGTCGGGACTAAGACCAGCGACTGGGAGGTAGTGTAGATTTTCCGTGGCCCATATCTAATCTTGGGTGACTTGTAGGTGGCGCAATCCGCGTGCCTCCCGCACCTTGGATTGCAGCCGTGCACTGAAAGGGTAACACAGCAAAACAACTTGAGTCCACTAACCATGAGATAATTGGGAAAAGTGAACTTCGTATCCTCAACGATACATAGGCTTCGTACAGGCAAATAATAAGGAAAAGGTTCCTGTTACAGAACGATTTTACTGTCGCACGCCCGGTGCCGTTTTCTGAACAAAACACCGTAACTCTTCCACATATCATTAAATCCGAACTGATTTCTCCGATCGCAGATGTAGCTTACTGTTCACAGGGTTAAGCACAGTAACGTGGCCTAAAACCACCGTCCATACCCTGTTTGACTACTAACCGCATCAACCTTCTGTGATCTTCCCCAATGACACTTGCTCGCGCTGTTAAATAAACACACATGTACAGATTCACTCATTCGCATACCAGTTTGGTTTCCAGCGAAGACTCACTTGAATACCACGTTCATTATGTTCTTCTGTTGTGGGCTATCAAGGGGCTCTTTAGCAGCCTTTTAATCCGACTAGGCAGCGTACCGAGATATCTTGAATATCGCAGCAACAATCGGCCTAGTGCAGCACACTCATTTAAAGAGCAACATAAAAGACAGATTCAGCTGCCTAGCACGAAAACCGAATAAGTGTGTCTGTCGAATTCCGTGCGATTCGGGTTCATGTGAAACATAAGGTTACAGGTTGTCGAACAGTTTTCAAGAACCTTCGGCGCAATGTGTTACGTACATTGAATACAGGTATACGCTGATCGTGTCGGTGAGCAAACCACATGATCCAAGGCAGCGGTAGTTGGGTTCGGTGAGAGGAGCTACTCCGAATTACTGCAATGCTGCAGCCAGAGATCAGTTAGACGAAAACTGATGACCGGTGATTTCGTCCTGTTGGAATGGCTAGAACTGCAACAAAAGCCTACAGGGCATGGCTTGCCACAAACCATTGATATTACCGAATAGCAAGTAGTGAAGGCTTTTAGTGCCTACCGCGGGGATACAGCAACTGTGGTCGGAGATTAGCCTACCTAAAGTGAGGAAGCACCATGGAGTTGGAAATTATGAAGGGAAATGTTACCTGCCGACCACAATAGTGACATCATCAACCTGTGCGAATTACAAGGGTCGAGCGATTAAATCACTCCTCAATTCCTGAATTGAAAAAAAACAGTATAATACACATTCTACTAACTGCTCGACTCAAAGCCAAACGAGCATCTCCTGTGGTTTCACTCGTCAAACTGAGCATTCTCATTTTTTAAGTAGCAAGTCACCGCGGGTTCACCTGGCTGATTCAATTCCGCAAGTCACTGCACAAAATATTACGTAGCTCATTTCCAGAAGCGCGGTTTTACTTGGTTTCCGTTTTGTTTGGACAGTTGAGCGAGATGGCCCAAGTGGTTAGAGCGCGAATTTACTGACCGGAGGGTCCGACCTCTGCCTCTCGACTTCCCCTGTCTAGGCTTGGGTAGATTGGCAGTATCCCAGCCCCCGTGCCTCCATGTGGCATGGTAGTTAGGCACCGAAAGGGACATCTGTAGACGGGGCATGGTGGCCGGAAAGACAAGCGATGAAGAGTGCATCTCGTTAAGATATTACATGTTGGTAGGGGGTGCTGGCCAATGATGCGCCATTTGTTACGTCCTGGTGGACCTTTTGCCAGAGTGGAAGGCATATTGCACACCGGAAGACTACTAGATATGGACGATACCTGTTTAATATCTTAAGTTCGGGACAACGAACACTTCAAGTCCGTAAGGTATCGCCAAACCCAATTTCCCGAAGTGATTTGAGCGTCACTGCAGTAGATTTTTTGGGCCAACACAACGGTAATCAATACATGCGAGACTACCTGCAGGATATCTTAGTAAACATCTCAGGACGCGACGAATACCCTCCACAGGAAATATTCACCTTTTCCCATGAAATGCTTTCCCACTATCCAAGGTTGTTTTTCGGTCGCAGTCACGCACCACGCTCCAAACGCGACAGCTGAAGTATAACTGTTGAGAGTCGACAACAGAGCGGAAACGAGGCAACCTCGGGGGAGGGCAGTGGCTAGTAGATACGTGAATATGGATCTAGGGAGTGGAATCAGCTGGGCAATCCTCCACTAGAGCTGCTTCGCTACTGTTTATGTCCCGCCAATATGACACAGACGAAGACAAGACCGAATCAAGAGATAGGAGTCACGGTTGACCGAAGGTGACGTTACCCTTCAGCTTTAAAAGTGAATTCAACGCCTGGCTACTGTAGTCTTTATACTCGGTAGTGTTTAACCGTCACAACACCGTCGGGCTGCAATTGTTTAGCAGGCGCCCCTAACACTGTTTGCCTACTAGATATGAACTTTGATCTAATATTTTGGCTTCAGTTACTTTACTCAGCATTGGTGTGTAAACAGGCCTTACTAAGAGAACATCAGTTGGAAGGTAGCGTAGACTTGGTATGCTGCTTCCGTTAACGGAGAACAGAACGCAATTGACGTTGACCGGACTCAGTCAACATGATGCCCATCGCTGAAGACACTGGAGCTAACAGTGAAGTCGCTGGGAGATAGCTTACTAGCAAGATAGGAAACGTTACCGTGAATCGCCGGGGATACTACTCCATTGTTTGCCTGAAAACAGAGTGACTTCGAAAAGGTAACTAGAGTACGATTTATTGATATTCTCTCACCATGCACTGAAATGAGCGACTAAAGGAATCGATTGCACCCGGAAAGTAACCGCATCACTCTTCTTCTATTTCTGTGCGTATCAGTATGCTTGGTGAATTATAAATATATGAAATCCAATGACAATCGTACGTTACATCAAGGGGTACACACTCATAAGGATCAGTAAGTGATACGACTATGATTTGTGACTCATTTAATTACTTTGAAACGCAGTGGGTAGCGGAGTAAACCTCACGTTGGTGGAAATCCTTGAGCAGTACACATCAACTTCACAAGGACTTGATACTTTGAACGTCGTTCGAACTGCAACATCCTGCGTTGAAAACTAGAGATGTAGTTCGGTCTCTCGTTAACACAACTGATTCACAAGAGCCTGTCCCCACCGACAGTGGACATTTTCAAATGAGTATGGCTGAGACGGAATTTAGACTACAAAAATTTTGAGCCTGTTTAACCGTAGCGACCACCACAGTCAAAGATGCGATAAAGCTATACTGAAACCCAGCAAAAGATCACTCTCATTATTCCTCCATATTTCACCCTAGGGAATCGAGGGGCCTTGCCGACAACCTTACTCTTTTTTCTACCTCCCAGCATACTTTAGGAGGGTGTCCAACTTGTCTGGGGTCCGATAAAGACATTACATTTAGACCGGCACCGATACAACCAGTCGAGGAACCAACGACCATAGAAATCAACATATCAATTTAAGCACCACTTGATACAACGGCTAATGGCAAGAGGAAGGTTTGTGCAGTTTCTTACTAACTAGAACATATAGTCCTTTGTAGTCGATAAACAACGTGAACGACCTCCCCGTGGGAGGATAAACCATCAACTCGAAAAGAATCCAGCATCGAGGAACAGAAGCACTCATTGAAGACTGATCGCCTTGTGGTCGTTTTTAACTTAGGTATGGCTTTGAGAGGTGGAGGGACCTCAGTTATAGACACGAAACACCTTGATTGGATTTGAGGCATTTTTTCGAAAGCACCTAATAACTAGCAATGTGAGACAGGGTAACCCCGAATTTACAAGTGAGACAAGAGAAAACGGAATCCGATATCAATTTATTTGGATATGGAAAACATCACACTTTGCTCTCAGAGTAAGGATGAATCGGAGCAGTTTCCTCCTTGGCGGCGAGAATAGTGACCGTATCGGGCAATGGCTTTCGTGGTCCAGTTTTTCCCGAGCTATCATGGTTCATCATGATTTTGACTTTGATGCCCAGGATTCCTGAAAAACGAGGTGATAGGCGCAGTGAATACACAGCTGCAGACCCCTGATAAAAAACAGCACATCTGACAGAATTCGGTGCATAGTAAAATGTCTCGGTGGGATGTTTCATTTTGGAAGATGTGATTAATACGGTCGCTTACCACACCATTCGCCTTCCGGTCGTTCGTGAATGTTCCAACGATGAATATCTTCGCTTCGCCAATGCTCCAGATGCCCAGTACCTTTACATATACGTATTTGGGGAATACGCCTGTACATCGAGACGTAGAACCTCTGGTGATCGCCACCTAATATTATCTGAGGGGGCGAGATGGCCGAAGTGGTTAGAGCGCGGATTACTAACCGGAAGGTCCGCGGTTCGAATCCGACCTCCGCCACTCGACTTCCCCTGTCTAGGCTTGGGCAACCTGGCAGTATCCCAGCCCTCGTGCTTCCTTCGGGTGGCATGGCAGCTAGGCACCGGAAGGGTGCTACAGCTGAACGCTTTATCTTAATATTATCCGAATTCCCGTGAACCCAACCAAAACTAAAACGGATGCATGATGAATCTGGGTTGTACTATTTTCGTGACCTGCTTTCATGAAAGACTGCAGCAGAAAAGGGTCTGAGCATCTGTTCCTCATAGAGATGGAGATGACAAATGGAAGGCTCTGGGGCCCGCAATGGACCCGAGAATTATACAACACCAAGCTCGCCAACCGGTAGAATAAACTGAACAGAACCAAAATCAAACCTAATTGGGTTATTCTAATCCGCGTAAAAAGTGAGAAGTCAGCTTGAGTCCACTAATTGTGGAAGCTCCCAAATAACAGCAAAGGTAGGCGGTTCAGATGAACCCCACCATGCTATGCGAAACCGTTGGCAGACATGCCGCAGATGGCGACAGTCCGGCTGCTTTACACCCAAGATTGAAAGAAACTACCAGAGACCAAACCAACAGCCAGCCTAGTCAACGGATACCACTCGTGAACGACCAGCATGACTTCGATTTCAGATAGTACCTAAAAACAACTTCGAAGTGTCTGGAGGTAAGGCTGAGCGAGCAGTATGATTGGAGAACATCACTTGCTGCTCTACAGAAAGAACTACAGTTTTGCAGACTGTGTTCCTTGAGTACAAAGACGTAGAGGAAGGTCTTGGAGACTGACATGATGTACAGTGCCTGCACCGACCTTCGAACTTGCGCAATAGACATTCTTATGCATTATAATCCATCAGCCGGGTCGCCTTACTTGCTGCATACAGCAGGGCGGGCAAGC